GTGTACATTGAATTCTCAGAAACTTGCTTCTCTCACCTTCATTTTGGGCAAAGGAAATAGAAAAAGCAACTACTATTGTTGCTAGAATCAAGGCACACTTTGGCAACTCCATCTTCTGCCAAAACTCGATATGACACGAAGCTCTCAGACGTGTGTATGGGGAGTAGGATATCCCTTTTATACTGGCAAGAAGCAGAGTCATTTTACGTCAGAGGATGTCATGGAATAGCTCTTAGGGATACTTAGTTGTTTTAGGCAATGATCTTATCACAATATTTGCACTGAGCATGTACAATTGTGCAGGAAAAACATATTAGGATGTCTAAGAAGTGTCAGTGGGTAAGAAGGTGTAATAAGTGATGTCCACATCTCTATTAGTGTTTGTGAACAACACGAGGACTCCAAAGCCTGCAACCCCACACACTGACAGAGGAAGATACTCTGTAGTAGTGGATGGCCCCAGCTTGAACCCACACTGAGGCTGACTGTCCTCAATGGGGAAGACCTCTCCATTAGTGAGTCTTATTGGCTCTATCTCTTGCCAGAAGAGCATGTGGCAGTCCCAGCCAATGGACAGTAGAGTACTTGAACCAAGAGGGAGCAGGGACGATACAAAGGAACAGTGACCTACAAAATGTTACAGTGAACACTACATACTGTAACTACATAAGCACCAGGGTTGCTTCAATTTAGCTACATGTGTACAGGACTTTGTTAGAATGTGTAGCGTGGATAAGCAAACACGACATGTGTTTACATACTGTCTGTCCCAAGTGTAGGGAGATGAACTACAGAACTGAGACCAGTGATAGGCAGCAATGTCACTAGGGAATGCTGGGAAAAGGAGCGATAACATCATGAGAGAGGAAGGCAGAGTACTCTGAGAACCACTGGTAGAGAAACAGTGGGGGAGACAGTGTGTAAACAGCAGCTGGTTATCGATGCTGCGACTCTCCCAAGAACAGATGGTCTCGGACATTGCTATCTCTTACAAAAACTTTTGTGCTCTTTTCTTAGCTGTCAGGGTGCTGAACAGAGCAGCAAGACTGATTGGACTCTCACTCCAGTAAACTCTCTGGCTTACTAACAATATGAGCCTATATTCATCTTCCCTGTTTTTTCCCTACCTAACAGAATCTCAAAGCTGCACCATCCACTTTTAAGATTCAATTACTCAAGGAACTGAGTCATGCAGATTATCTTTAAGAGGTCTGGTCTGACTTTGCAAGAGAGCATTGTACAGATGGTTAAGTGTAGTCTAAACTGGACCACATGTACTGTACAAACTTCCATGCAACTTGATCTCCTCTCAGCCACCAATATACTGTACTTTGACTACTCTGTGATCTTGATATTATTGTTGAACGTGAGTACTCTGCCTTGACTCTCCTCTGCAGACACATTTCCCATCCAATTCTCATAACCCAGACAGACCTCCTCACAACCATCCTACACAAAGGAATATTTGTGGCAAACAGGACCACATGTACTGTACAAACTTCGATGCAAGTTGATCTCCATTCCCTGGACTCAGCCATTTGTTGTTACTCTGATTGTTGAATGAGCATAAGGAAAGTCAAACCCATGATAGCATTCCTATAGCCAATGGGTTTTTGCGATACGAATTTTCTAAGAATGTAACCTCATTATGGATGGTGATTAGTCCTCATCACATAATTAACCCAACTGTTTATTATGCATAGGTTGCAGGAGATTATACACATTGTAAGCAGTACATCAAGTACACCATGCAGTAGGGTAGTGTTCCATGGCTCTGTGAACTCATGACTATCGATGTCTTGATGACTTTAACAACACATGCCATAGTGAGAACTTAATGTTTGTGACTAGTCAGCTTAGCGTATGTGTAGGCTAATCTCACCTTGGGAATAAAAAATATAGCCCTGACTGTCTACCAACTCATGTAATGATCCTTTGTTACTGTTCGTTGTGGCTAGCACACATGTATACTACTGAAATATTCATGCTGTCTTAATGTTCTCTTCCACAAAATCGTGAGCTGTTGATTTCACATCATGTCCATTCTCCCTCATTCTCCTATCATCCGCATGATAATTTTGACAATAAGTTTATCAACATTAAATACACAGTGCGTATAATTATTATTGATGGAAGTTTTCAATGAGAGCACACCACACAGGTGAGCTCCTTCTCACTATCATATGGTGGACAGGACATCCCAGAACAATGAGGTTCCACATGGTAGAAGAACGCAGTATTGCTGTTATAACCATTAAGTCCAGCAACAGATTCAGGATCTTTGTCCACACATTCATACGTGGAACGATGTTGCCTATAGCCTGCAGTCATCAAGTATCCAGTGTACTCTGTGGTCCAGTTTGTGGTGCAGTTGACTTTAGCTGGAATCATCAACAGTGTAGTCCGTGTTGTGACATGGCACACAGCACATGGAACATTGTGGTAAAGAACAGTTTGTAACGGTTCAGAGCTGAATGATCGATACTCCACTCCATATATGTAGCTATGTCCTTGTACTCCACTAGTATACTGCAAGTGTTCAGGATCATCTGGCATACAGAGATGGTTGGCACCCCCTCCACGGTGATTATGTCGACTCCCTCCAGCTCTCCCAGAGTACACCAGCTCAGTTCCCTGGCCACTGGGACAAACAGTCCTCCCCCAGCGAACATAGACAGCTCCTCCCATGGCAAGAGGACCTGGGGCTCCTAGTGGTCCCTGTGGTCCAGGGAGTCCAGTGTCCCCGCGATCTCCCTTGTCCCCATGATCTCCTTTTTCTCCGTTAACCCCCCGGGGGCCTAACATTCCCTGCAGTCCCCTCTCTCCCTGTGGCCCATTGGTTCCTGTTGGTCCAGGTTGTCCTGGTGGTCCAGCTGGACCTCTCACTCCATCTCTCCCATCCCTACCTCTCAGTACCTCCACTTGGTGGACACTTACTTGACTACCTCCTGTGATGGGACCACACAGGCATCATTTCTTAGTGTACATTGAATTCTCAGAAACTTGCTTCTCTCACCTTCATTTTGGGCAAAGGAAATAGAAAAAGCAACTACTATTGTTGCTAGAATCAAGGCACACTTTGGCAACTCCATCTTCTGCGAAAACTCGATATGACACAAGCTCTCAGATGTGTGTATGGGGACTAGGACACCCATTTATACTGGCAAGAAGCAGAGTCATTTTACGTCAGAGGATGTCATGGATAGCTCTCAGGGATACTTAGTTGTTTTAGGCAATGATCTTATCACACTAAGCATGCACAATTGTGCAGGGGGAAACAGAATTAGGATGTCTAAGAAGTGTCAGTGGGTAAGAAGGTGTAATAAGTGATGTCCACATCTCTATTAGTGTTTGTGAACAACACGAGGACTCCAAAGCCTGCAACCTCACACACTGACAGAGGAAGATACTCTGTAGTAGTGGATGGCCCCAGCTTGAACCCACACTGAGGCTGACTGTCCTCCATGGGGAAGACCTCTCCATTAGTGAGTCTTATTGGCTCTATCTCTTGCCAGAAGAGCATGTGGCAGTCCCAGCCAATGGACAGTAGAGTACTTGAATCAAGAGGCAGCAGGGACGACACAAACGAGCAGTGACCTACAGAATGTTATAGGAAGTTTACATACTGTAACCAAACAAGCCCCAGCTTCAATAAGCTATGTATACAGAAAAATTGGGGAAGTGAAACATGTGCCACATGAACAAACAACAAGGATTAATAATTGCAGGTATATAGCACTCTAAAGTTTGTGAACCTAGTGGCCCTATAAATTTGAATGCATACCTCTTAGCCAGTGAGTGTAGACATACTTGTCGGCATCTACTGGCTTGACTGTGAAGAAAGAAAATATTTCGACTGTTTGCTGTTACTGGTGATGTGGTCTCACAGTAAGAGAAGAGGGAGGACTGAGTGTTGGTAGGTGTGCTAGTGACGGGAGACTGTCTCCTCTGCAGAATGTGAATACTGTCGTCAGTTCCTCCCACTGCTAGTATACTGGAACAGAGAGCACCACTGAGTCACGTACACACACTGCAGAGGCATTATCTGTCCATGCATGGGTAGTCAAGCCATGCTCTATCAGTACTGCACATCACAGAGACATGTATTCATTCTGTCAGACGCTCATTCATTTTCTGTCCATATGCATGGGTAGTCAAGCCGTGCTATAGTGTGTCAACAATCCGGCCTGCTATCAGAGGTACACACCTGCTATTAGTCATCCATGCAGCACAAGTGATGGCGGAACCTCCACACCCCAGTTTCTGGCTGCACTGCCAGCCACTACTGCTGTCAGGACCACTCACGTAGAACACAACCTCCCCCATCACTGTACCTACTGCCAGTACCCTGCACGTGTACACACAATACTACATCATGGACACAAACAAGGCGTGTGTATGTAGGTCTCTATGTGTTTGGTATACCCCTGGTGAGGGAAAAACTGTGACAGTCGGTGACTATTTTGTGGGTCAGAATCATTTTCCATTACATTTTCGTTTGAATGTAGCCTTGCTAAATGCTTGTCCAGTCAGGAGAAGGTGAGCACTGAACCCTATTACACTACTGACTCAAAGACTAGCTCCATGCATGCAGTTTGTGACTATAATATACACATACCTATTATCAGGGGCCCAGCTGGTCAAGGTGATATCAGCTTTTGTGTCCTGGAGTCTACCGACCACTGAATGCTCTATCCTGACAAGTTGCGAAACACACCACAGCATTAATATCAAGTAAAAAAATTGATGCTTGCCTACAAACGTTTTTGAGGAGAAAATACAAGCACGACATGTACTGCACTCTTCTGCATTCTTGTGGCAAACTGGACCATATGTACTGTCCATGTCCATTCCCTGGACTCAGCCGTTTGTTACTCTGATGGTTTAGTGAGCATAGGGAATGCTCAGACCTGCTTTGAGAATCCATGATAGCATTCCTATAGTAAATGGGTTCCGTAATTATACCACTTTAACCATGTTAGATGGATGGTTATTAGTATATACTTATCACCTATGTTTTTTGTGCATAGAGGTTGCCAGGAGTATTACATTACATCATGTATACACCATGCCACCCAGGGCAGCTCTTCTTCATTTCTCTGAGCTCTCCTGGGTATAGTTGACTTGTTTGCCTTGCCTTGCCTTTCTACCTTGCTACCAAGTTATTGAGACATGCAGTAGGGTAGCGTTCCATGGCTCTGTGAACTCATGACTAAGATGTCTTGATGACTTTCACAACACATGCCATAGTGAGAACTTAATGTTTGTGAGTATGTGTATGCTGATCGCACCTTGGGATTATTAATATAGCGTCCTGATTGTCCACTAACTCCCCTACTGAGAGCTAGCTACTTGCTGTCTTGTTTGTTTCTCTTCCACAAGATTTTTCCGTCATGTCCACAACCCATTCTTCCTCAGCTCCACAAGTAAGAAGAAGTACAGTATTTTGCTTTGCTACCTACACTATCTCTCACTGTGATAAATTTGCAAAGGAATTTTTGTGGCAAACTGGACCACATGTACTGTACAAACTTCCATGTCCATTCCTTGGACTCAGCTGTTTGTTAATCTGATGGTTTAGTGAGCATAGGGAATGCTCAGACCTGCTTTGAGAATCCATGATAGCATTCCTGTAGTAAATGGGTCAATTGTACCACTTTTCTAAGAATGTAACCATGTTAGATGGATGATGATTGGTACTAATCACCTATGTTTATTGTGCATAGGTTGCATTACATCAACTACACCATGCAGTAGGGTAGTGTTCCATGGCTCTGTGTGAACTCATGACTATTGATGTCTTGATGACTTTCACAACACATTAGAACTGTTTGTGAGTAGTCAGCTTAGCGCATGTGTAGGCTAATCGCACCTTGGGAATATTAATGTAGCATCCTGATTGTCCACAAACTCCACTATTGAGAGCTAGCTACTGGCAGTCTTGTTTGTTTCTCTTCCACAAGATTTTTCACGTCATGTCCACAGCCCATTCTTCCTCAGCTCCACAAGTAAGAAGAACTTACATACGTAATGTGAACAAAGGAGTACAGTATTTTGCTTTGCTATCTACACTATCTCTCCCTATGATAATTTTGATGGTTTATCAGCATGAGATAATCATCATCAAAGGAAGTACACAGTATGTATATTATAGCTCGTGTTGTGACATGGCACACAGCACATGGAACATTGTGGTAATTAACAGTTTGTAACGGTTGAGAATGTGGTCGATACTCTACTCCATACATGTAGCTATTTCCTTGTACTCTACTAGTAAACTGCAAGTGTTCAGGATCAGCTGGCATGCAGAGATGGTTGGCGCCCCCTCCTTGGTGACTATAGCGACTCCCTCCAGCTCTCCCAGAGTACAACAACCCAGTTCCCTGGCCACTAGGACACACAGTCCTCCCCCAGCGAACATAGACAGCTCCTCCCATGGCAAGAGGACCTGGGGCTCCTAGTGGTCCCTGAGGTCCAGGGAGGCCAGTGTCTCCGCGATCTCCTTTGTCACCAGTTCCTCCCTGAGGTCCCTGAGGTCCAGGCTGACCAGGGTCTCCACTGTCTCCCTTGCTTCCAGTCATCCCCTTGAGACCCACAATTCCCCGAGGTCCCGTTATCCCTCTCTCTCCCTCTGGTCCCTCGCTTCCCTTCTCTCCCTTATCTCCGCCCACTCCTGTAGGTCCAGGTGGACCTGGTGGTCCAGCTGGACCTCTCACTCCATCTCTCCCATCCCTACCTCTCAGTACCTCCACTTGGTGGACACTTACTTGACTACCTCCTGTGATGGGACCACACAGGCATCATTTCTTAGTGTACATTGAATTCTCAGAAACTTGCTTCTCTCACCTTCATTTTGGCCAAAGGAAATAGAAAAAGCAACTACTACTGTGCTAGAATCAAGGCACACTTTAGGCTACACTCCATCTTCTGCCAAAAACTCGATATGACAGCTCTCAGAGGTGTGTATGGGGACTAGGACACCCATTCATACTGTGGCAAGAGCAGAGTCATATTTACGTCAGAGGATGTCATGGATTAGCTCTTAGATACTGTAGTTGGTTTAGGCAAGGGCCAATGATCTATCACACTAAGCATGCCCAATTGTGCCGTGAAAAAACAGAATTAGGATTCTAATAAGTGCAGTGTCAGAAGGTGTATTATTGATGTCCACTTCTATTAGTATTTGTGAACAACACTAGGACCAAATCCTGCAACTCCCACAGCACTGACAGAGGAAGATACTCATGTAGTAGGTGGATGGCCCCAGCTGTGAACCACACTGAGGCTGGACTGTCCTCCATGGAAGACTCTCATTAGTGAGTCTTATTGGCTCAATCTCCTGCCAGAAGAGCATGTGGCAGTCTCCAGCCAATGGACAGTAGAGTACTATGAACCAAGAGGCAGCAGGGACGAGCACAAATGACGTTTTAGTGACACACAGAATGTTACAGTGAACACATAGGAGTCTTACATACTGTAACCAACACAGGCCCCAGCCTCAATCAGCTATGTATACAGGAAATGTCGTTTCCAAAATGGGGAAGTGCCACACGACTAAGCACATCCTGTGAATGAAATGTATCAAGGATTTAATAATCGCAGGTGGTAGCACTGTAAAACTTGTATTACACACTATGCGGCCCTATAAATTTGAGAATGCATACCTCTAGCGAGTGTAGCACTTTGTCAGGCATCTACTGGCTAGACTGTGAGGAGAGCAAATATTTTTACTGTGAGCTGTTACTGGTGATGAGGTCTAACGTACGAGAAGAGGAGGACTGAGTGTTGGTAGGTCTGCTAGTGGCAGGAGACTGTCTCCTCTGCAGAATGTGAATACTGTCGTCAGTTCCTCCCACTGCTAGTATACTGGAACAGAGAGCATCACTGAGTCACGAACACACACCGCAGAGGCATTATCTGTCCATGCATGGGTAGTCAAGCCATGCTCTATCGGTACTGCCAGTATGCTGTAGATCAGACCCCTATACATTAGAGATTATCAATTCATATCTGGGAGCAAGTTTACTCAATACACATGGGTAGTCAACTGATACACTACAAGAATAATATCAAGATGCTCAGTCATGTGCACACCACAGAGACATGTATTCATTCTGCAAGAGGCTCATTCGTTTTCTGCCCATATGCATGAGTAGTCAAGCCGTGCTCTAGTGTGTCAACAATCCGGCCTGCTATCAGAGGTACACACCTGCTATTGGTCATCCATGCAGCACAAGTGATGGCGGAACCTCCACACCCCAGTTTCTGGCTGCACTGCCAGCCACTACTGCTGCCAGGACCACTCACGTAGAACACAACCTCCCCCATCACTGTACCTACTGCCTGTACCCTGCACGTGTACACACAATACTACATCATGGACACAAACAAGGCGTATGTATGTAGTTCTCTATGTGTTTGGTATACCCCTGGTGAGGGAAAACTGTGACAGTCGGTGACTATTTTGTGGGTCAGAATCATTTTCCATTCCATTTTCGTTTGAATGTAGCCTTGCTAAATGCTTGTCCAGTCAGGAGAAGGTGAGCACTGAACCCTATTACACTACTGACTCAAAGACTAGCTCCATGCATGCAGAGTGTGACTATAATATACACATACCTCTCATCAGGGGCCCAGCTGGTCAAGGTGATATCAGCTTTTGTGTCCTGGAGTCTACCGACCACTGAATGCTCTACCCTGACAAGTTGCGAAACACACCACAGCATTAAAATATCATCTTTCAAGTAAAAAACAAGTTGCGAAACACATAATATCACCATTCAAGTAAAAAAATTGATGCTTGCCTACAAACTTTTGAGGAGAAAATACAAGCACGACATGTACTGCACTCGATACTCACTGTGAGTCAGCTTTGTTGAGGTCTATTCTCCAAACTGCCACCAGGCCACCACTGTAGCCAGTAGCCAGATAGAGTTGGTCGGGACTCTTCACCAGCCATGACAGACTGCAGGTGAGGGGCGAGGAAGGTGTAGAGAGCAAGGAAGAGAAAACGAGACAAAAGAAAATGATAGCAGAGAGAGGCATAAGAACTGAATGAGGAATCGAAGCGTTTCTGTACCATTTCACTCTTCTCTTCCCGGAGGTGTCGGGAACCTCCAGAGGCAGCCAGAGCAGATTGTCAGATACGATGGATACCAGGAACACCTGTCCCGAGGTGGTACCAAGACCCAGAACCAGACCTCCTCCTCCAGCTCTGGCCACTCCCATCATCTCTACTCCACTCACACTGATTGCCTACAGCCACATAAAATGTCGATTCATAACAAATTCGTCTAGGGGTAATTACACCCCCAAGTTATAAAATATGGTATCCAGAGTGTAAATATGTATGCTGTCTCCTCTTCATTTTGATGCATACAGGCTGCATTAAAAAAATACTGATTAAAACTCAGCTGGAAAATCCACGAACAAAATTCGACTCTCATCAAACCAAAGGTACATAGATACTGTACAAACTTCCATGTCCATTCCCTGGACTCAGCCATTTGTTACTCTGATGGTTTAGTGAGCATGCTCAGACCTGCTTTGAGAATCCATGATAGCATTCCTGTAGTAAATGGGTCAATTATACCACTTTTCTAAGAATGTAACCATGTTAGATGGATGGTGATTGGTATTCATTACCTATGATTATTGTGCATAGGTTGCAGGATTATTACATTACATCAAGTATACACCATGCAGTAGGGTAGTGTTCCATGGCTCTGTGTGAACTCATGACTATCGATGTCTTGATGATTTTCACAACATTGCCATAGTGAGAACTTAATAATGTTTGTGAGTAGTCAGCTTAGCGTATGTGTGTATGCTAATCGCACCTTGGGAATATTAATGTAGCATCCTGATTGTCCACCAACTCCCCTACTGAGAGCTAGCTGCTTGCTGTCTTGTTTGTTTCTCTTCCACAAGATTTTTCCGTCATGTCCACAACCCATTCTTCCTCAGCTCCACAAGTAAGAAGAACTTACATAAGTAATGTGAACAAAGGAGTACAGTATATTTTGCTTTGCTATCTAAACTAACTCTCCCTATGATAATTTTGAGGGTTTATCAGCATGAGATAATCATCATCAAAGGAAGTGCACAGAATGTAATTATCGATAGATAGGTTATCAATGAGAGCACACCACACAGGTGAGCTCCTTCCCACTATCATATGGTGGACAGGACATTCCAGAACAAACAGGTTCCACATGGTAGAGGAGAGCTTGACTGCTATCAGCACCATTAAGTCCAGCAACAGATTCGGGTACTTTGTCCACACATTCATATGTGGAACGATGATGAGCATGGTATTCAGTCATCAAGTATCCAGTGTACTCAGTGGTCCAGTTTGTGGGGCAGTTGACTTTAGCTGGAATCATCAACAGTGTAGCCCGTGTTCTGACATGGCACACAGCACATGGAACATTGAGGGAATTAACAGTTTGTAACGGTTGAGAGCTGACTGGTCGATACTCCACTCCATATATGTAGCTGTATCCTTGTACTCCACTAGTATACTGCAAGTGCTCAGGATCATCTGGCATACAGAGATGGTTGGCGCCCCCTCCTTGATGACTATAGCGATTCCCTCCAGCTCTCCCAGAGTATGCCAGCTCAGTTCCCTGGTCACTGGGACAAACAGTCCTCCCCCAGCGAACATAGACAGCTCCTCCCATGGCCAGAGGACCTGGGGCTCCGCGTTCTCCCTGAGGTCCAGTTAGTCCAGTGTTCCCGCGAGCTCCTTTGTCACCAGCTCCTCCCTGAGGTCCCTGAGGTCCAGGCTGACTAGAGTCTCCACTGTCCCCCTTGCTTCCAGTCATCCCCTTGAGACCTACAATTCCCCGAGGTCCCGTTATCCCTCTCTCTCCCTGCAGTCCCTCGCTTCCCTTCTCTCCCTTATCTCCAGCCAGTCCTGTAGGTCCAGGTAGACCTGGTGGTCCAGCTGGACCTCTCACTCCATCTCTCCCATGTTTTAGGCAATGATCTTATCAGAATTATGTGCACTAAGCATGTGCAATTGTGCAGGAAAAACAGATTTAGGATGTCTAAGAAGTGTCAGTGGGTAAGAAGGTGTAGTAAGTGATGTCCACATCTCTATTAGTGTTTGTGAACGACACGAGGACTCCAAAGCCTGAGACCTCACACACTGACAGAGGAAGATACTCTGTAGTAGTGGATGGCCCCAGCTTGAACCCACACTGAGGCTGACTGTCCTCCATGGGGAAGACCTCTCCATTAGTGAGTATTATTGGCTCAATCTCTTGCCAGAAGAGCATGTGGCAGTCCCAGCCAATGGACAGTAGAGTACTTGAACCAAGAGGCAGCAGGGAAGATACAAATGAACAGTGACCTACAGAATGTTACAGTGAAAACTAGGAAGTTTACATACTGTAACCAACCAAGCCCCAGCTTCAATTAGCTATGTATACAGGAAATGTGTTTCAAAATTGGGGGAAGTGCCACACAACTAAGCAAATCCTGTGAAATGTATCAAGGATTAATAATCGCAGGTAGCACTCTATAATTTGTATTACACACTATGCAGGCCCTGCATGTGGTGGCCCTATAAATTTGAGTGCATACCTCTTAGCCAGTGAGTGTAGGCAAACTTGTCAGCATCTACCGGTTTGACTGTGAGGAGAGCAAATAATTTTACTGTGTGCTGTTACTGGTGATGAGGTCTCACAGTAAGAGAAGAGGGAGGAGTGAGTGTTGGTAGGTGTGCTAGTGGCAGGAGACTGTCTCCTCTGCAGACAAATTTGTCAGCATCTATGCTTAAACATGTTCTATCCATCCCATTGGAAGACTGGAATAAGCTGTAGCTGCATTATTGGCAAGTGAAACGAGTCCTCCTAGTCGTCTCAATGCGAAATTTTTCTGTATATATGTATGGGCACTGCCACACATACAGTAATATGTTATTCTAAATACACATGAAACACGTGAAAAATCGAACTGCTCGCTTCACTCGCCAAAAATGCCAGATATCTCGGGTGCATGACTAGCAGATAAAAAGTAGAATGAGCATTTTTCGCTAGTGAAAATATCAGGTTCGCAAGCTTATTTAGAACCATTACGATACATGTAGTGCCACACAATTCAGACGACTAGATGTAGAGCTTGTTTCACTCACTATTAATTTTTTTATAAACACATTCCGTATGATTGTATGAGTTACGGAGTCACCACATCCTTGCCTGTGAACTATTGTGCATGCGCGCATGGCGAATGTGCATTGCATATTTAACATCACTCAAAATGGCTGTGCCACTATACTCTCTAGTACAACAGCTTGCTACATGTATAACAGTCTTGGGGTGGTGCATCTATGTGTATAACAGTCTTGTAGCAATCAGCAAGTTCATCGAGAGCAGACCACACAGGTGAGCTCTTTTCCATTGTCGCGATACAGAGGGCAGTAGTCTCCAGTGCAGACTGCCTCCACGTTGTAGAAGAGAGCATCATCAGAACTCTGCTCACTGTTGGTGCCTGGAACAGTCTCAGGGTCCCTGTCCACACACTGGTACGTCGAACGATGATTGCTGGAGTGTGCGGTCATGAGGTACCCATTGTACTCCATAGTCCAGTTAGTTGGGCAGTTGACTTTGGCTGGGATCATGACCACTGTGTCTCGTGTGGTGGTGTAGCACAGAGCACACGGAACGTTGTGGTTTTCAACACTGGACAGTGAGCTATTGTCTCCGGCTCGATACTCCACTCCATGTAGGGGAACTCCCTGGTTCCCACTGGTGAACTGAAGGTACTCGGGAGCGTTTGGCATGCAGAGATGGTCAGCCCCTCCATCTGTCCCTCCAGCTCTCCCAGGATACACTAGTTGAGTTCCTTGGTCACTGGGACACACAGTCCTCCCCCAGCGAACATAGACAGCTCCTCCTGTGCCTGAGAGAACTGGTGCTCCTTGTGATCCAGGGGCTGGTGCTCCTTCACATTCACAAGTTCCATGATCTCCCTTCTCTCCATTCTCTCCTGGTATTCCTGGTTTACCAGGTGTTCCCGGCCGTCCAACTGCCCCAGGGTATCCATGTAAACCGTTTCTCCCAGTCAAACCACGTGGACCTTGTGGGCCTGGATCTCCATGTTCTCCTGATGGTCCTTCAAATCCTGGTTCTCCTGGGGATCCAGGTGAGGCATCTAGACCAGCAGGGCCCCGCGGTCCTTGGGATCCAGCCTCTCCCTTGTCTCCTTGTAATCCTCGGTATCCTCTTTCTCCCTTGTCTCCAGGTTGTCCCAACTCTCCCTTTTGTCCCGGTGGTCCTCGGTATCCTGACGGTCCCTGTGTACCTTTATCTCCTTTCTCCCCACGTACTCCCTGGCTTCCTCTGTCCCCC